TTTTTTTGGAGATCGGCACAAATTTGTAAAATAATAACGGAAGTCTGATGTAAGACCGTCTGGGGTCCAAACGGACCCTAGCCATGTATTTGAACTTTCCTACACACAAAATTGTTCGGATGTCCTCAATATGTCTTCAAGGAAGCATAATTGCTTTAATATTATGCAGTTTGCCAAGTAAACTCAACCTCTGGAATTATTTCATCAGGTTTTCAGAGGTTTGACAATTTGACAATCATATGAGGTCAAAGGTCAACCCCTCTTCATGCCTGCAGGCCTCATTCCATTTTTGCCTAAATTATGATAATGAGCTGGAATTTTTCAACACTTTATCATGCCAAAATATACCTCTTACTATGTTTAACCAATATATGTGCAAAGATCACTGAAAGAATGCAAAAAATATGAATTTGAAAGAAACAAAAAAAGTTACGGGTGTTTGAGGGTTAAGGTAACTTAACCCTATCTAGACCGGGGGGGGGCGTAAAGTAGCCCGCGCCAACTTTGATGTCAGGTAGCGTCTGAACGGCTTGCGCTAGAACGGCCAAACTTGATGACTTTTCCTAAAATACTGTTGGCAACAATTCTGTATCATTTTAATAAGATAATAATTTTTTGTGTTGCCATGGCAACGGGTTTCTGGCAGGCATTTTTTGCTAAATTTAGTAATTTTAGTTTCAACAATAGAATTTTATGGGTTTTATGTCATGTTACATATGGTTTCTAATATTAATAACATCCCATATAATTTTATGTAAATTCTATAATTACAAATGCATAATTTATGCTAATTTGATGACGTCATTGGCCAAAATCCAAGATGGCGGATTTCATTAGAACAGGTATATACAAGTTATTTTCCTTCAAATTTCATCAAAACTTCCATTTCCTTTTACGAAAAAGGTTCATATGAACGTCTTTCGTCTGTTTACAATGTATTTTAGGCTTTATCCTGAAAAAAAAACTATTTTTGAAAATTCAAGTCCAAAATGGCGGATAGCTTAAATATGCATGACGTCATTTTATGACGTCACCGGTGTTGCTATGGGCAACATAAGACTAAGTACACCCTAATATTCAGTCATAAACTCTTATGGTAAAGTTATGTTGTATACCATTTAGTTTTCAGGGAATAACCTATTTAGACGGTTTTTTTGGCCAATAAAATCACATTTATGACGTCATAATGACGTCATATAACGTCATAACGACATAAAAATTGTAGATATGATAAATTTTCACTAGTACACCATCCTCTGAAAATGTGGTGGTCCTACGATATACTGTTCTTGAGTTCTGCGGGGGGTCAAATGAGCCCCCCCCCCCGTCCCGCCAAGCTCAAAAAAGCCCGGTCTAGATAGGGTTAACTTAATGCATTATTGATAATACTAATATACATTATCTGTCCCCACTGCTGTATCTCTCCCCACCCATCTATCTCTATACAGTATAATAATTCATGTAATAATGAATAAGGCCACAGTAAGTAAATCTTATGGATGGCATCCTCCGTAGACTCCAAATCTAATGCGAGCGGGCGAAAAAAACAAGGCGGGCCGAAAAAAACAAAGTTCCTACAATTTAAAATTTTGACTCAATTATTGTTCAAATGGTTTTGATTCAATGGGAACACATATACATATACATATACACAGCCAGCATCACATATCACAGCATCAAAGTAAGAAACAAAACATTAAATCAGAGCCTTTCTTGTCTCCTCTCTTCATAGTTATCTGCCATTCACCTTCCGGCATGGCAACAGACATCTTTGCTCATTTTCGGCATGTTGTCCACTGTCAGAAGGCAACAAAATGTCTTTTTTTTCCAAAATCAGGCGAAACTTAATGCGTGCGCTGATGTCATCCATAAGAATTACTAGCTGTGGCCTAAGTAGACATAAACACAACTTTATATATTACATATCAGCATCAATGTTTATCTGTGTTGGTATAATACATTATGACAAAAAAGCTAAAAAATTATGTCCACATCTCTTGCCATTGTAAAACAAACAAGAGACAGCGTAAAGTAACATACATTGGTAAAACAGATGAACACCAACGCCCAAGCTCCGCCAATTCAGAAGTATGCCAACATATACACATAGAATCTCCAGGACACTCCGTCTCTCTGGACAAAGTGAAAATTCTGGACTCAGAACCGGATTTCATTTCAAGAGGAGTGAACGAGGCTGTGCATATTCGGGCCAATTGACCAATACTGAACAGAGACGGGGGGCGACACAGGTTATCTGGCACGTATGGCCCTCTGCTGCAATCACGTGTTTCCGACGTCACGTCCCGGAAGCTGCAGTAGACGGGTACAATCCATGAACAAGGCTGACGGAGTCAACCGAAAATTTGGTCCAAATTTACTTCGCGTTGGACATAAAGTTTCAGCCTTCTCGCCATAACTTTATACATATCCTAATAATGATATAATAATAATAATACATGCATGTAACAATGGATAAGTTAAGACACAAACAACTTTAAATAGATTTATACATATGCTAATGATAGTATATATGGAGCCCCGCAATATTTTCTCGAAATAACTCAAGAATGCAATAAACGTAACACGTATTTGAAGACCTGGATATTGCATTTAACATGTCGAAGATTGTTTTTCTTTTTGCTGTTCAAAAGTCTGACAATGTATGTCCATTAACTGCTTTTGTTTGGTAAGCATTGAGTACAAAAGTTAATCATCACATATACAACTAGCATGTCCAGATCACTGTTGCAATACCAGGGAAAGCCGAAAGGGGTCCAAAATCTAATCGTTTCTTTTTCTCACCAAATTCTACCCATGTGCCAAATATGATTGTCATTTATAATTCATCATTGTCTTCTCGAGTTATGCTGCTCACACACACAGACACACACACACACACACACACACACACACACACGCGCGCGCGCGCGCTCACACACACACACAGACACACACACACACACGCATACAGGCACATACACACACACACGCACACACACACATACACAAACACACACGCACGCACGCACGCACACATGCATGCACACACTCAGGAACGCAATCATACACAAACACGCACACATGTACCCACACACAAACATATACACACAAACACACATACACGCACGCACACACACATGTACAAACAAACACGCACGCACGAACACATGTACCCACACACAAACATAATTTATACATACATAAATACACGCACGCAAACACACATGTACACGCGCACGCACACATGCGCGCG